AATAAAAGCAGCGAATCCCGATACGGGTATGAGCAAACAAGAGATCCTAAACTGGACGCAACGCGTCGAACACGATCGTATAGAGGGAGGCGTATATCAGACCTTGATTTTATTAACAACGGATTCTCTACTTGTTTCCTGTTTAAGGTGGAGAGCAACGTCGAACGCTAACCCAACAAGGGGTACACCTTTCATGTTCGGTGTCGAAGTGAGAATCCATGGAGAGAGCGTGTTCACCAGCGCAGGAATTCCGTCAATTTGCTGAAAGAATTGATCAGATTTCTGTGATATTTCAAATAAAGTGATGACGTACTGATCGTACTGTTCTCCTTGCTAGGACTATGCTCTGCTTTCTGACTGAAGGTTTGACCGAGCAAGTTGGATCCAGCTGTGCATCTAGAATCAAAGAAAATGCCGTTACCAGCTTTTCCCAGGCGGGAGTACCCATGAAAAGGGGGTTTAGAGAGAGAATGAGTGGATAGAGTGCGCATATCCACGACAGTAAAACCGAGACCTGAGAAGGTGAAATGGAACTATGGAAACCCTGCTGTCAGATATACACCCTACACCTTTCAGAAGTTCCTTTACCCAGCAGCCTTTGATACCCTATTTGCTTCAACATTGAGCCATCCTATTATCTGCTCCGCTACACCTGTAGGGAAGAGGTATAAAGCATGTGCACGTCAAAGATCTTGATAAACAGTTGTACAAGAAATTACGGACCCATCTTGTTGGAATCGGGTTCCCCTTCCGGCTTACCGCGCAACTCATCGCGGCGGACAAGATCGACGGCCAACTGAAGGACAGCCTCTCGTGAAGGAGCATCGACATATCTCGGTAGTGTCATTATAACAAGTTTAAAGAGGTCCATAGTCTGAGAAAGGTTCAAATCTGTTGGGAAGAGTGTGAGCCACCTCGTCTCCAGTAGTTCGTATCATATGAGCACTCCTACCCGTTCTGAGTGCCACAGGCGACAATCTCCCACGAATGAACGCAATTCTCAACTTTGTACTCGAGCTTGTGATCTGTTTCTGCGCAAATGCCATGAAGCTAGGCCAATCATCATGCAACTTGGACCAGTCAAATGAAGGTAGTTCAGAACTATCATCCTCTGGATCGTGTTCGACGCGTTGCGTCCAGTTTAGGATCTCTTGTTTGCTCATACCCGTATCGGGATTCGCTGCTTTTATT